TTCTTTCCACATTTTTCTTTTCGATAAAAATAATCCGACATATTTTCTAGTCGATTTTTAAACTAAGAGAAACCATTCCCAGTAAGATGAACGTCATAGGACAATGCGAAGAGATCGTGCGACCCTTTTACCTCCTCTTCAAGCAAGGTAGAATATCGACTTTCCATCGTAAGGATCGTTTTTCAGTCGTATTTTTCTCGCCTTTCGTTATGCCAGACGCTCTCGAACATCCTCGTCATCGTTGCTTCCGAGTTGGCAAACGAAAGTGGACGATGACGTCACTAGGATGCTTTCGAACTCGTGTCGACTACGTGTAGACTAATACATACATATATATTCAACTTTCACCGATCGAGCTCTCGCTGTGACTCAAGAATATGTTGGGAATAGATATATTGAGGTACATGTTCAGATATATACACATATATAGATATATAAATATATATATATATATATATATATATATATATACATATACAATTCTATATAGGTGCTTACTATCGTGGAATTCGCATTGAAGGAAGGAGAGACGAGGAATCGTGAAAGCGATTAAAGACCTGACTCTGAGAAGCCGTCTGACCCTGACACTGACGAACTTCCTGCTTTCCGAGAGGCTGATGTGGGATCGATTCACGAGTACTTAAATGTTATACCTTTCTTTTCTAACTCCTTCGACGCATTCCTCTTATCCGACAAAGAACAATTTCAAGCACGCCACTATCCATTCAATTTTAATCAGAATGTCTAACTTCTTAGTTCCTGTTTTAATTTACTTCATTTTATGTCTTATCTCTCTACTTACTTTTCTCTCTCTTTCTCTCTCTCTCTCTCTTACTCTTTTCTTATTTTACCTACCAAAACATTCCTATAACTATATCAAGTTTTTCATTCGAAATGACGTAATAAGCTCTTGATAATGCATTTACAATGCATGAGGAGGCTTAAGTATTAATAAAAAATAAAATGGTTGGATATGATAGATGAAATGAAAAGAGATGAAACAGAGGAAGGATTTTTTTATCGAATTAGAGACAAAACGCAGTTGAGTTATGTCAGATTGCGTCGATCGTCGATCGTTTCCATCTACGACGACTAGTCGTCATAAGAGAACTAGGAATGTCCTCGATATCGCGTATTCCAGTGGAAAATCTTCTTTCTCTCGTCGTCCCAGTATATATACATGTAAGTGCATGTGCGTACGTGTATATTTGTGTGTGCATATATATATATATATATATATATATATATATGTGAGTACGTCTGCACGAGAAATTTTTGCTTTTCTCTCTTCGTCGACGGTGTGGCGGCAAGATCAATATTGTCGGAAGAAAATTGACCACGTCCCATATGGCGCTCTTTTCACAAATCGAGCACGCTCCTTCTTTATAATTAATATCTTGTCTCGTGGTTCATTTTTCTTCTTTGCAAACGTTACGACTATCCATACGATAATGAAAATGAGTGGAAATGAAGCGAAAGTGGCTAAACGAGAAAACCGATAAAGAAAAAAGTATCATTCTGTCTCTCCCTCTCTCTCTCTCTCTCTCTCTCTCTTTCTATCTATCTATCTATCTATCTATCTATCTATCTATCTGTCTGTCTATCTATCTATCTATCTTTCTTTAACGATTCAGCTGAATGATCTTCCGAGTAACATCAAAATCTATACATATTCTGTTCAATGAAATATCAATTTCGAGAGTTCGTCTCGAATTTATTTTTCGTTACTCAAAAAAAAAAAAACGTATTGAAATTATAGCTATCGAAACTAGCAACAACTTCAACTATACCATCTCTTTCGTATCCGAGGTACACTTTGAATCAATGAATGGCAGACAGAAAGTATGTTAGGAATAAAAAAAAAAGAAAGAATAAAAAAACAACACTCTCTCTTTCCTAAAAGCCATTCAATGCGCCTGTCGCTATCTTTTTAGCACGCGCGTGCGTTGAAACGCTTCTCATTGAACGTACCCCATGGAAAACTCGTTCTCGCCTTTCGCGGTTCTCTTTGTATATAACTTGTGTCACGCTCGGAGAAATATGGAAAACTGACACGTAAAAAAGTGGATAGGAAGAGATAAAAATAGGGATAGAAAGAGACAGAGAGAAACGTAAATCTCACAGGATTCTGAAGACTTCAGATAATGAGAACGCATCACTCGCACATCAATTATACACTCGCTTCTCTTGTTGATCCCTCGAGCGGTCACAACATCGACCAAACGAACATACTGATTAATATCGAGTTACTAATTAATATCGGGATTATCGTGGGAAGGATTCGTTGCTGCGATGTTATCTCTCTCTCTCTCTCTTTCTCTCTCTCTCTCTCCCTCTCTCTCTCTTTCTCTCTCTCTCTCTCTCCCTCTCTCTCTCTATTTATCTTCTATTTTATCGTGAAAAACTAACTAATAAAGAAAATTCAAAAGCTTTTAACGAAAATGAAGTAAGAACTTTCGTTTATTCTCTCTCTCTCTCTCTCTCTCTCTCTATCTATCTCTCTATCTATTTATCTATCTATCTATCTCTCTATCTATCTCTTTCTTTTTCTCTCTTTCAATCGCTTAGACTTTTATACGCTTCGAGATTACCAATAATAACTACCGGTCAAACTATTCTTTTTTCTTTTTTACTTTTCTCTCTTCTTTTTTCTTTATGAGACTCTTAAGCGTTGCCTTCGACGCGAAGAAGCTCCGCTTCGTGAAAGTTGACCTCGAGATAACTTTCTACGAATAGTAAGATCTTATCGACAATCTTTGAGCCATTCATGCTAAGAATGTACGTACGTAAGTACATAACTAAACAAATTTATATACTTGGCTCTTTCTAGCGATTTACTTCTTTTGTAATATTTTTTGGATGCTCCATTAAATAGACTTTAAAATAGTTAGTCTTATCGAAAATATAAAAGTGAAAAATACTCGATCAAATTTTTAGTTTAGTATAAGGTCAACTATCAAAAATAAATCAAAGATAAAAAAGAAATTTATAAATAATTAATAAAAAGAGAAATATCGATAAGTTAGTTACGTTTATATGAAGAATTAGGTTCGTTGATTATTTGCATACAATGTATTTTTATAGATGATTAAATAGTGATTTGTATTTCTTAGTTAAGAGAATCTTTCGATGTAAGATCAATCATTACTTTTTCAACGATTTTATCAAAAATACTACGAATTTCTCGTTATGTATAATATGGTACGACTTTCTAGACCAAATGATCTAGACGTCATGAATTATAATTTGATAACGAATAAATGGTGCAAATACGATTTCACATAACGTCAATCTGTAATTTATTTGATGTTCTACTAATCAATAATTGAATAAATATCAATCATTTAATAAATTAACGAATTGTTATGGGCAGATTTTTATTTTCTCTCTCTTTCTCTCTCTCTCTCTCTCTCTCTCTTTCTCTCTCTCTCTCTCTCTCTCTCTGTCTCTGTCTTTCTCTCTGTATTATTACTTCCCGTTCTTACTATCGATCAATTGTATAGCTCTATACCATTAAGGCTATGTATGTTCGTACTGTTGACCAGCTGTCAGCAATTAAGTCCACGAATGACCAAAAAATCAGACGACTAAACAAGTAGCCAATGCATCGCTTGTGCTTTCGTGATAGTTGTTGATTTGCTGATTTGTTAACGCATGATCAAATGCGTACGCTTATATCTCTTCTCTTGAATCAAGTCGACTAATCAATAGTGCGCCTACAATCAAAGCTTTTTACTTCGCTTACATCGATAATCATTGTCGACGTCATCAACGTTTTTACTCGAGCAACACACAGTAACTTGATTGCTCGAATGAAGGAAACGTTGAGAAATTGTTTACGAGTTATTTCTATCGACCGTTCACGCTTATCTACATTTAAACATGTTTATCGTGACATTTATATGATCCATTGTGCTATAACTTCCATTAAATAAATATAATTCTAATATCCGTAGAACTAAAATTAAATCAATTATGTAAACGTCGACATTGACACGGTCTATACATATATTTATATTTCTTTTTTATTATCCACTTATAAAAATATATCGTAGATATGCATCAATACAAGTATTATTATATCGTTGTAAATTGCAATAATAATTTAAATATTAAAATTTTTTAGTTTTACGATGAAGATACATAGAGAAAATGAAAAGAAAATAGGAAGAAATGAGAAAAGATAAGAAACGTAAAATTACAGGGAAGTCATTTAGCGAAAATGATAAAAAAAAAGTATGACTCTTGACTCTTGGATCATGATAAAGATAATTCTGGAGATCCCAGAGGTAAATTCTTTTTTCTTTTTTTTCTTCAAAGGCGCGAGAAGCTGTTCGCGATACCGCAAAAACGATTCGGAGAGCAGACACGCGTTATTACGTCGACGTTATTTTTCTTTGTGGCATCGGTGTGTTAAATTTTCCATGCGTTTATCGAAAAAGGGACATAGTATGTGCATACACATGTAAGTATGTATATCTGTACATACATATGTTCTCGATGCCACAAACTTTATTGCAAATAGGTATTCTTTCAAAAGTAGAAAAACTAAAGCAAGCTATACGAAGTTTTATATATATATATATACGCGCATACACATACATATATATGTACTATGTTTTTTTAAGCATATGTATGGATTGATTTTCAACGTGAATCATACACATTACCTGCATGTTTCGTACTATTGATTTTCTTTAAAATCTTCGATAAAAATACAACGTCGCAGTTCTCCCGAACTACATTAAAAATACGTAGAAATAAACTAATTCAAGTCGACGTAATTTGATCCGGAATTTAATTTTAACGATGAGTCTTAATCGCGTTGACATTAGTTGAGGTTCATACATTCGTATCATCCGTTTTACCACTAACGATAATTAGATTCCTTGATCGGATTGTCCAACACTATTATCAAAGTAAAATCTATGGCAAATATAGAATCTAAAACATCACTAAATATTTCAACCATCTCTACTCGATCCTCGATGTATTTACCTGCCTATATTTCATCAAATGCAAGACTGTTTCTTTAAAATCCGTTAAAATTCCTTCGCTATGAATTGGAAAACAGAAATGTTAAGAAAGTTACGATGAAAAGAAGAAATAATATCCGACACAACGTTGCGTCGTCGTGCTTCTAACCGGATCTTACGACTTAACTTGACTTAACTAACTCGATTTACCGAACTCGTGGGATATTCAAATATCGATATCATCGCATCTGCTCCGCAGGCAGCGCCAGTCGTGGCGATATAGCATCGCAAATTCAATTTCCACGAATACTCAGTCGCCTCCGTGGAATCAAAATGAGAAGAGGACGGAAGCACTTCGAGATGGGAGTTTCAAAGTCGAGCTATGCTCGTCGTCGTCTAAAGACGACATCGATTTTCCGAACCGAGTGCTTCCAAAGTACGTAAACGACGATGAATCGTGTAGCGTTGCCGAGATGCGATGGGAAACTTCTTATGGAAAATTGAAAAAGGATGAATTAACGCATCGCCAGTTACTTGGTGAAATGCGGTTTCTCGAGCGTAGAGAAAATTATGCGGAAATTATAGCTACAGAAAATCTATTTCAGTATATATCTATATATATCTATATACGAATGATAAATTGTATAAGTACGAATTGTATAAAGGTATAACGTAAACAAAGTAACAATGAAAGCAGTGAATTTACACCGATAGTGAAAATAAATGAATTCATTAATAAGATACGGAAAGTCATATTTCATTGGAATTATCGACATAAGCTGTTGTTAGGATACACAAGGACAACGATCCATTTCATACAAACCTGTTTTCGAAGCGATGGGAAGACTTGGAGGAACATTTGGTACGTTTCCACGGTTATTGCTATTCGATTAAAAGTATAACGTAGCGTACGAACGAAGAACATTCAGAGAACTGATGCCATTTCGAAAAAATATGTCAACACTGATAACGACATTTACGAAGACGAATCACGTTTGCACGACGAAAGCCTAGCGAGCACTGTTGGTGTTCTGCGGTTAAATATTCAACTATCGAGAATCGTACGCTTCTATAATAAACATTGGCTGTAACAGTTCGTTCATAATGTATCCGAACGAGTACACGCGTCACGACAGTGATATGCTACGAATTAGTGTCTCGATGATAAATTAGATAAGAAATTAAAATATTTTTCTTTTTCTAACATTTTTACTACAAAACTCAATTCTATCTTCTAAAAGATATACGATACTAAATAAATAAAATAAATATACATGAAAGTTTGAAACTCTTATCGTATCTTTGAACCGGCAGTTCTAAATAAATATGTTTCATTTTATTCCACATCCTATCATCCGATTTAAAGAGAATCCGATGCTTGAGAGGAGGATGATAACAACTTTTCGTTAGGCAATATGCGGTATATCCTTCGTAGGAATAACATCCTATGGGAATACCATGGTCAGTCGTATTTCGAGTTTCGGTAGGGCAAACGGAATCGCGAGTCCGAGAGATACTTCGGCTATCTCCGGTATTCGAACGGGCTGGAAGCTTGAGTGGAAGCTCGTTTCGTATATTCGAAGCTTTCGAGCTTTAACTTCAATAGTGAACACGAATAGGTTACAGATTAGCGAGTTTGAAACATAAACGAATTTGTCATTAAGTCCGATTTGTTTGTTGCTTAATTGATCGTGATATTTGACTTTCATCGTATGGACGATTCGCTTTCACATCTTCCGGATTACTACTTTCCACTGAGCTTCCTTAAATTTATAAAACGATTCTGTTTCTCTACTTGGAAAATCAGTGGACCGTCCGTTACACTTTGATAAATCATAGTACGACTGTAGGTAGCGTATTAATCTTACGAGTCATATATATATATAATACATATCTACATATATATACTGTATATACACATAGTTCCAACTGCTATCTCTTTCGACTCTCTTTCTTTCTTTTTCGTGATAAAAGTGAACGTGATAAAAACGTTCTACTCACAAATCTTTACAAAAATAAAGAAAGAAATCGAATAGTAATTCTTCGAGTGAATACTTAGACAATATTTGTTGCTCTTGATCTCGATCATTCGCAAACGATTTTTGACTTTCGAAGCAACAAGGAAGAGCATCGGTGGCAGACGAGAATGAATTAGTAATCTCACGCTAATCGTTGTACTTGGTAACAAGAGAGAAAGAGAAAGAGAGAGAGAGAGAGAGAGAGAAAGAGAGTGAGAGAGTGAATGAGAAAGAGGATCGCTTTCGATTAACGTTAGAGCTACGAAGGAGGCTGGCGTTACGAAGCAGTATCTATAAGAGAGACGAGTGTAAGCGTTGTAAGCGACGTGACGAGCATACGAGAATATGCTTCTAGAATTTCAAAGATAATTCGATCTGTTATGTGAATTCTTAAAGGGAAATGTTATTATTGTAATATTTACCAATAACCATATTTAAATGTTATTGAAATTAATTGATTTAGAGAAAGAAAAAAGAAATATCGGGAATTAATAATATAATAATAATCATTGTTACACATACTTATATAATTAATTTCAATGAGAAATATCTGGAGATATTGTCAAAATATCGATAATCGCTCTTTGCCCATAGTATTTGGAGAATGGATAAGTTTGCGTTAGGGCTGAAGATTAAATGGACCGGTGTTCCGTGTTTGGTGCCTCGATCGTTCGTTCAATTCACGCCGGTACTCTCATGCGTTGTTGCATAATCCACATCAGAGTTATGTAGATCTGGGGCTTATCGCTCCAGGATTTCCATTCTGTCTCATTATTAATTTCCATGCGTTAAGCAGCTGGAACAGGCTTTAGTTCGAAACCGGCACATCGTTGTACAAGCCGTTTCGAAATTCTTGTCACATTTCTACTAAACGCCATTAATTTTAAAAAGTGACTTTTATCGAAGCTACGATTGATATTAAATCTTTGTAAACGTTTTCTTTGAAAAAAAAGAATATGACAAAGTAATTGGAATCTTGAGAGTTTAAAATAAAATCTTTTTTTAATTTTATCTAAATTACATTGATAATGAAATATTTTATTGGCTCATTATATCAGTTTGATTTAAATTAGATATATCAGTTTCATAATTAATATTGTTCCATTAGATATCGTATTTTGTTCATTAGTCTCTTTTAACGAAGGCCGGAAGGATATCACTTCTATCTCGAAATACACAAGATATAAGAGAAAAAAAAAATTATCAATGAAATTATTTTCATAGATTTATCAACGATTATATTTTATCTATTTGTGATTACAAGTTGAAGGTTATCAAGAAATGTAATGAAATACTTTCTATCTAATGATAGATATTCAGTGGTCGAAATTTCGCGAAAAACGAGAATGTAACAACTTTTTTTGTAATTTTTTTTTATTTAATCCCATAGAGATTTGTGCAAGTGAGTTCGTGCTTTATTGACTGCAATGGGTTGAAGAAATTTTAATTCAATGAATAAAGAGAAAGAGAGAAAAAGAGTGAGAGAGAGAGAGAGAAAGAATGGGCTACATTCAATGAATGCTGGTCTTAAATTCATGTAAAAAGAGGAACGAGCCGTTGTAAAAGTTGAACAAAAGTTTTAAACGAGCGTAGCGTACGAATATAATACAAGTTCGTGTCCTGTGGTAACTCGTAAACAAAGTTATTACATTTGGACTCTACGATATCGTAATAATTGCTTACCTTAATTTACGCATGATTTCGATTTTTCGATTGAAGATTTACTACAGTTTGCTATAATAGAATATTTACTGAATTCAATACTTCAATATGATGCACGAGTATTGCTGCTATAATACGGTGAAAGTACATAACATCGTAGCAACCTTTTTTTATTTACGAATAGCTTGACTGGTTCTTTTCTGTTATTCCCTTTGACGATATTTCAGGTTAGCAACCTAAAAACGTGTACATAAAAACGCGAAGTAGCCTTTACGATTTGAACATTAATGAAACGTATCGTGCATCGTTGAGCCTTCCTCGTCGTTGATAACGGAGCTATGAATAAGTATCTTCTTTCTTTTATTTTTGTTTGTTTGTTTTACTTTTACGAAATAGTAAGAAAGAAAAATGTAGATATAAAAATGTCGGAGTCTTTTGGAATACGAATTGAATTTAAGATATACAGCTGAGACCCATCGTAAGTTAGATAAAAAGAAAAAAAGATAGAATACTCGAACAACTATAATAAATCGGATAAATACTTTTATCTCATAAAATTTGAAAATATTTGATTTTCTGTATAATTAAGATATACCATATCAAATATAGAAATAAAAAAAAAACATTTGATCTTACGAAAAGAATTAGCCAAAATTAATGTCACTTCTATTAAAAAAAAAAAAAAAAAAATAAAATTATTGGATAAGTATATACGTACATACATATCTATACTCTATCTGTATTTGATCATAGTTTTTCACGTGCAAGATCTTCGAATTGCAACGGTTCCAATTCGCTTGAAGACAAGCTGCGACGTTAGTGATAAATGACGGAAAAGTAGAAGGAAATGAAAAGGGAAAGAACTGGTAGAAGGAAGGAAGGAAGGATAGCGATGACGTTCTGTGGAAAAGTACGAGGGACAATGCGAGGAGGAGTCGTAGTTGAAAGGATGTGAACAAAGCAGCTCTCACACAAGACATAGAGAAACAGTAGAGATAGAAATAGAGATAGAGAGGATATTTTGACGATAAAAGGAGAGCATATTCTAGAAAAGTAGTTCTATGTTAATAATTATCATTATGAAAGGACGAAGGACGATCCTTTTGACGTTTTACATAGAAGCTCATTTAGAGAGTACAAAAGAGAGATAGAAGGAGAGGATATATTGATGAATGAATAATGAAAAAAGAACGATATAACCCATACTTAATTATAATCCATACTTAATTAATAATTATTATCGTGAAAGAATGAAAGACGATCTTTCTGATTTTTTACGAAGGAGGCCATCTAAGGAGTACGAGAGAGAGAGAGAGAGAGAGAGAGAGAGAGAGAGAGACGGAGAGAGGAAGAGATAGAAACGCAGAAGGAGAGAAGTCTATTGTAATCGGTAAATGCATTCGGCATTCACTCCGAACGGACACTCTAGAAGAAAGGAAGAGGAAAAGAAGAGTAGAGGTGACGAAGAGAAGGAAGTGAAGGAGGAGATGGAAAGAAGGTTCGAGGCAGACCTACATATTCTGAGCGTGGCCAATGAGACGGCGCAATGTGGCGAACGAAGTGAGGCACGGCCACGAAGCAGCATGATGCTAAGAGGGACGGAAGGAGGGAGGGAGAGGGGGGAGGTGGCGTACAAAGCGAGGGCAGCTCGGCGGCGCGCGACGCTACGTGGCTCCAGTTGCTCGCGAGCATCCGTAAGCGTTTGAACATGGCTTTCCGTTCGTTGAAAAGCGCAAGCGCCGTTCTTTCTTCGCGTTTCGCGCTTCTTGCGCTCGCGATTTTTGCCTTTTCCAAGTTTGCCGTCAAAGCTGATAATGGTCTCAAGGTCGAGACCATTTATTTACCAGAAATCTGCGAGGTCCATTCGAAAAAGGGCGACCAGCTGACTATGCATTATACCGGCACACTTCAAGATGGTACCAAATTCGACTCAAGGTCAGTGGATGAAGTCTTTCGCTTGACGAAGAGAAAGAGAGAGAAAGAGAGAGAGAGAAAGAGAAAGAGAGAGAGAAAGAGAGAAAGAGAGAGAGGGAAAGGGAGAGAAAAAAGAGAAAAAAAGCGTGTGCGTGTCTCTTTAGCGATAGCTTTCTTTGAACCTTCTCTGAACCAAGATTAGATTTTTCTCTCTGGAGAGAATAATATTTAAAAATAAATATCAAATTAATGTAATCGAATGAATATGAATATAATTTTTCCTTTCGATCATGGAACATTAATGATGATGATGATAATGATGATGTATTTTCTAGAAACTTGCAACTATTTTAAACTTGCTATTATCTTAGAAGAGATTAAAGAGACTTAGATGCACCGTATTATCTACGATTTACCGAACGTGATCCTCTTTCGTTTCCAACGTGATTTTACTGCATTTATTAGAAAGTCTCAGAGTGCGTTGCTCCGAATTCGATGATTCAATAGAATCAAACGAGGGAATGTAATTCGCTTGTGGATTTCGAATGCTCGATCGATCATCTTAGGGCTACCAAGGTGCATTGCCTTTTCATTTGATTCTCTCTAGCTATCTCCCTCGTTCTTTAGAAAAAAAAAGGAAAGAGAAAGCAAAAAAGATAAAGAGAAAGTACATCCAAATATAGTATCCTCTTCA